GCAGTTAAAGTAACAAAAAAAATACTGAAGAGATAAAATTATTATCAACAGATAGATTTGTATGTGGCGTAGTTAGAATACAGTTACAAGAAATAAAAGTCCCAATTCAATGTAAACAATGCTACCAGTTCACTCATATGCAGATTGTAAACTTCCTCCTCAATGTGTTTGATGCGGAAGCAAAAATAATATTTCAAAATCTCAATGTGTTATTTGTGGAGGTGATAATACCGCTACTGATAATAATTGTTCTGCATAGAAGTTAATAGCAGTACATAAAATTCACAGAAACCTTATAATATTTCTAAATGATTTAATCAAAATAACACTACACCAATATCTATGAACTACCAAATTTTCCAACTTTACCAAAACAATTACATCAAAATAATTCTTTTTTAAATTCCATTTCACAAATTCCAAAGATCACTTGGCAAAAAACACAGCCAACAGAGAATTCACAACTACTTTCACAATCTGAACTCACAACTACTTTCACTGAATAAAACAAAATCTTTAATAATAATTCAAATTTTCGATTAATTGAAGATTTCAATAGTAAAAATAAGTCTTGGGGTTATAATTTTACTAATTTGCAAGGTATAAAACTCCAAAAAGAAAAATGCAGCTTGGGAACCAATCCTATATCCTTATAATAACATTGATTTTGTAGATATAATAATAGCAAAAATTCTAAACTTTCTTTTAGTACAACATACTTTAACAGATTGAGAATCAGACCATTTTAAAATCCAAATGTCATTCAACCCAGTAATAGAGAAAATCCCACAACGCACAAAACATACAAACTGGACTAAATGAAATGAACATCTAACAATGAATTGTAAATTATCTGCAATTATTAAAAATAATGAAAATTTAGACTGAAGTTGAAACATTAATGGAAGCTATCCTATAATTCTTCATCATTATCTTGATCATTATCATCATCATTATCATTATCATCCATCATCATCATCATCATCATGAACGGTTGGTGATTAGGCTTAACAGCCTATTCTATTATTTATGTAATAGTTCTGGTAGTTAGTCTTCCAGGTATTCCTGCTGTTGCCATTTCTTTCATGGTCTTTCAATGTCTCTGTTCCCTGCTGGTTTATATTTCTATATTAGTTTTTGCTGTCTATTATTGTTTGTTGTTTTAAGGTGATCTTGCCTTTTTTTGAGTGTTTTCTATTTCCTCTACTAAGTCTTTAGTTTCTTTCCAATGTTGGTTTCTCAATCTGTCCCTTCTTCTCACTCTCACAAGGTGTCTCAGAAATCTCATTTGTGCTGCTTGTATTTTTTGCTTGTCTCTCTTTCATTATCCATGTCTCTGAGCCGTAAATAGCTATAGCCATTATATTGTGAATTTGTAGTATTGTTTTTGCATATATGTCTCTACCAAAGTGTCGTTTAATTGTTTAACAGATACTGTTGTATTTATACAATTTATTTCCTAAATCCTCTTGAGTATGGTTAAATATACTTATGATATTCCCAAGATGTGAAAATTTGTTGACTTTTTTCACTATTTCTCCCTTTATTATAATTCTGTCTCTCTTCTGTTTCCATTTCTTTGCAGTGCCACAAATTTTGTTTTGGGAACTGATATTTTTAGAGAATATTGTGTTTCTTTTGTCAGTTCAAAAACTTCTTTGTAGATCATCTTCAGAATTTGTTATGATTGTTTGATCATCAGCGTATACGATTGTATCTATCTTTTAGTCCTTCCTGATTTGGATAACCTGTTTAATTTTCTTTCTCCAGTTTCTCACTAGGTGGTTGATGTATATGTTGAAGAGAGAAGGTGACAGACCACATCCCTGTCTTAGGCCACTACTGTTTTTTTTTTGTTGCAGGCTTTCTCCCGCCTCTTAACATTATTTTGATGTTGAAGTTTTCATATAAATTCTAAATTGCATGGAGTAATTAATTTGGAATTTTTCCCTCTTTCAGTATTCCCCAGAGTTTCTCTCTGTTTACTCTGTTGTATGCCTTTTCATAATCTATGAATGTTATGAAAATTGGTAAGTTTCTGTCTCTTCTTTTGTCTTTTATCATCTATAACGTGATGGTGGCATGTTTGGAGTTTCTTCCCTTTTGTAACCCACACTTCCATAAAATTCTCAGCTAATACATTGAGTCTGTTCCTCAATAAAGTTTTGATGCTACTGATAATAGTGTGATGTGTCCTGTAATTCTTGTAATCTACAATTACTTACTCTCAACCATTTTTGACAAATAAAAATCTAACATTTAATTCAAACAAAATATAATCTCAAACATTCTTGGGCAAAATACACAAAGGCTTGATATTAAAAGAAAAGTAAGTAAAATATCATGATAGTTGATCACCTCAAAAGTACATTTACTCCTAATCCTTTTTCTGATAATTTATTCAATAAAAAGTTAGAAGAATATACGGCAATTATTTTATTCACAGCACCAAATAAAATAGTTTATTTCACAATCTGAAATAGCTAGCATTACAAAACATCTGAAAATTGAAAAATCAACACGTATTGACATAAAAAATAGTAGTAAAAATAAAATAAAATAAAAATGCAAAAAAGGACATTTGGAACACTGCAAAACATACAGCTATTTTTAACGCAGCACTTTGGCTAAAATACTTACCTAAAGCTAAGAAAATTATCACTTTATTACCTCTTTGTAAATCTGGAAACAAAGTTGCCATGCCGATTTCTTTACAGATTTGGAATTTTTGTCAAAGCTCACTTACTTATCAGTGGGAACATATTTTTATGCAATATTGACATTTATAATTACAACACAAATCATAGAAACAAATTCCTCAGGTGTCAGTATCAACAGGTCACTGCAAGAAATCCACATATAATATAGGTACATTACAATACATTCCCTGATGACATTAACAATTGAAAATCGGTACACAAATTTAAGTTAAAAGTAAAATATTTTCTGCTGCATAACTGTTTCTATATACAAACTAAACTGATCATTATAAATAAAAATTATGAACATTTTAACAATGACGTATAATTATTTGGCATTATTTTACATATGTATTGTATAAAAAGATAATAAAATAAAAAAAGACTTAATATGACAGTAACAAGTAAAGTACTTTAGCTTCCATGTAAATGACCCCATCTTGATCAGGTTTTGGTCCAGTTTCTCTCATCCATTGAGCAAATGCTAAGATGGCTTTTTATTTTGCTTCTGACTAATTTTTACTTAAACTTTACTAATGTTTTGTTGAGCTCCCCTTTGGATAGTCGTGGTAGGAGTAGAGCCAGGGTGTGTTACTATTTTGTTAGCAATGTAAATAAGTTTTCTACAACGTGGGAATGAAAATGTCTAATTTTTCAAATGTTGCTAACCTCAAGTTTTTTTTTAAATTTTATACATAAAGAGAGAGATTCTGGAGCTCAAGAAAACATGTGCAGATGGTTCTTCTTCCCCATATGTCACATACACAATGTGCTCCATACACATTGTGTTTTACTGTTCTTTGACTACATGAATCAAAAGACACACAATCCTTAAAAATATTAACCTATAAGTTTAATGTCAGTCATAGTAAAATTCTTTGGAAAAGCCACTGAATCAAGATTAACAAAATATCTCCAGACAATTAATACTATTCCAGGCAAACAATTTGGATTTAGAAGAATTCATTCCACCACTCATTAACTCCTTCACATTACTAATTTATTGCACAACTTTCATGAGAAAAAGTACACCATTGGACTATTCCTTGACTAGGTATTTGATAAAGTTTAGCATACCGAATTATTATGTAAACTAATAAATCGTGGCATATCTTAATAAGTATTTAAAATCATTGAAAACTCTCTAACAGAGAGTCAATTCTATAAAAATAAACTTTGTTTTATCTAATCTGAAGTCAATACTTGCAGATGCTACAGTACTTTCCCCTCTCCTGTTTTATGTCAAATTGAACCTCTTTACCAATATATAACTGACAATGAAATTCTTCTCCATTCCTCCATCCCACTACCCCTAATACATTTATTTGGCTTAGGTAAAACAAAACAAAATTGCCGTTCAGGTTTAAGATATTCAAAGGATATGCTCCGCCCACCATGAACATTCAGTAAATGTAGAAATAAAATATATAAATAATATTGAAGTCAATTGTAAATGGGGAAAAATAAAATAACACAATTTTATATCATTATTACATTACATGGATGAAGATTACTAGCCTGAAGGCTGTGAGATCGTCTTAAAATGTAGTTATATTTTTTCTTTTAAATTGAAACCCCCTGAAAACATTAAGCAATGGGAATAAATGTTATAAAAACGACTGTTAATAGCACAACAGCAACGCGTTCACGCGTCAGCCGGCTTGGAAGGGGTCGTTTAAGTGGACACATATTTAACTTTTTCTTCGCCGAATCCGAATGTTGTATGGTTACATCATAGATGAATGGTATGTTTTTCTGTGGTTGTATTTGAAGACGAAGGCATTTAGAGAGAGCGCCTCTGCGCCTGCGTTGTTTCCCCCTCCAGTTTTGCAGCAGTCGCGGCGTAAGTCCTTCACATGTCCGCAGCAATATTTGTGCGTGTCATTAGCTGCGGGCGTGCCCAACGGCGCGTGATTTTAAATGCCACGCTTTCGGAAACGCTCTGAGGTGCCTTTTATTAGCGTCTTGACGGATGTGTAAGACGAATTAATTCAGCGTGCGAATGGCCTGGAGCCGCCTGATTTGCGGAGCCCGTGGGGTGAACGTTTCGTGGTCTGACGTTTGTACTCATGGCTCGACCTTGGAGTAGGGCGACATTTTCTGGGCGCGGCCACGCGAAAAGTTGCGTAACCAAACGTCCGTGCGGACGCTGTCGGCTCAAGGCGGCAATGACGGGCAGGCGCCGGGCTCAGCCACGATCTTCCCTATCGCGCACTAACTCCGTGACTGCGCGTTTTCGAGCTCGTGCGTGCTTCTGCCGTGAGCCGTCCGCAGTTTCGAGCGAGTAGCGCGGCGGACACCATGGCCATGGTCAACGAGTGGCAGCGGCCGGAGACGAGCCCGTATCCGCGGGTGTACCGGCGCTTCAAAGGCAAGAAGCCGATGCCTGACGGCCGCGTCGCCGACTTCTGGGTGCAGGACGCCACCGTGGACATGGACGAGGAGATCGCCGACCACATGATGACGTACTTCTCTAGGGACGAACCCATGTCCAGGTCGCTCAATTACTACGAGGAGATGAGCGACGAAATGAGGCAGATGGGGAAAGCGCACATGAAGAGCCTGGTGCACAAGCGGCTGTCGGTGGTCGCGATGACGGACTGGCCCGATGGCAAACCTCACGTGGCCGGCGTCAACCTGCTGTACGTCTTTTGCAAGGGGGACGAGAAGAACATCCCGCAGGTCAGTACACATACACTCAGAGGCGCCCAGAGAAAACGAGGGGCCTGGGGCAGTAGATTCATGGGGGGGGGGGCTTATTTTCGACAGGAGTTTCCCTTTAGTGTTATTATTATAATTCATTTTATAATAATAATAATAATAATAATAATAATAATAATAATAATAATAATAATAATAATAATAATAATTCTTTGTATAAATTTTCGGGGTCCCACTTTTGTGGGGTCGTCGTCCCACCCTCAGAGTGCCCCTGAACCTATTCGCAAGAAAGCGCGTCTTCAACATACAGTCACAGCTCCTCCTTTCCGTACGAAGCAGCAAAACGCTGTATTTGACCGGCTTCGAGGGAGTGGGGGGACGTCATGGGGCACCCCATCCTTCCGCCGCGGCCTCCCCATAGGCAACTCTGACAGATCAACGGTAATGACCACTAGACATCCGTCTTCAAAACAGGTCACAGAGAGTGGGATCGAAAATATTAAAACATGATCGAGAGCTATATTTAAGGGGCGGGTTTTAATGAAATGGCATTTTTTCCCACTTTAGGATAATGTCGTTTATTATAAAAATTCATTTTATGTTCTTTTTATGTTACGACGAAAATAAATTAACCATTTTTATAGGATTTCTTTTTTTGCAGTTTTCATCGATTTTGACTAAGTCATTTTTTTTTACCTTTTACGTCATTTTAATACATTTTCGTTGCTTTAATCAATTTTAATGGTATTTGTTTTAAATAATATTTACAAGGAGCAAAAAATGTTCACCGCGGAATTCCTGAGTAGCCTCATCGATTCGTAAGCCGTTGTGAGTGCTATGTAATTCAAGGTTCCTGTGAAACCCATTAGCGCCATTGTCAGTTCGGGAAATTTCGCGATAAATAAAGGCAGAGATTTTATTTTAAAGTGCAGTCCAACAGTTTGCGAACTGAGTTCACTTTAACAAAAGATGCCTCAATCACATCAGTAATGTATCCAACAGCTTGAGTTATTCATCTGAAGTAGTTTTGATTTTTTATGGCATTTTATTGATCATTTTTTCAATGTTTTAGGTATCAAAATCCGCCCCCTAATTATGACTTATTATGCTTCATATTGCGTGAGAGATACACGTTTGTAAAAGGAACCCAACATTCCTATTACTTGTAAAGTTACGTTTCTTAGGCAGAAACAATGAGCAAATTATTTCATTGATTTACTCAGTTATTTCCTGTCATAATTTTGGTAAATTGAATCCAAGGTCTTCCGTAGAGCCTTTCGTTTATGATACGAAACAAAAGTTTGTCTACATCAGGCAGTAGCGTAACGAAATGAGTACAGGCCCCTTTCTAAAAGGGTATTGCAAATACAAATAGTGTTAGTACCTTAAATAATAAATATATCCTCCAAAAATGGGCCCCCTTTTACCCGGGCCCGAACGTTTCGCCACTGACGTCAGGGATTTCCAACTTTTTTCTATCATTGACCCCCTTACCTTTTCTTCTATACTAAACAGCATCTGTAATAATGACACAAAGAATTGCACATAAATGACTTAAAGATAATTTCGTAAACCAATAGTCTCGCAAATGTTTCGATTTTTCAATTGTCCATTTTTGAGGAGCTGAGTTTCCAATCTTCACTGAAATAGAATGGTTACAAAATATTGAGTTTTTTTTTAAGAACAGAAAGTGACATTTCTCTCGTACATATTACAGAGTTAAGTTTCTTGGGCGTGAGAGAATCGTTGTCACCTAGTTTATATTTTTTGATTTTCTAAACGTTCTAAAAATTCCTAAGGATGGAAGATACCAAAGAAGAGGTGCGAATTTGTAATTTAATATTATACTTTTGTTGCTTTTTATCAGAAAAGTCAGTATTGTTTGTAATCGATATAAGATCTTAATTATCTCGATAAGGCGCCGGTTTAGCTATTGACCCTCCTTGAAGATTTTTGCGTTCTGCCGACCTTGAAATTCGGTCGTCAGAAAGCATCGGACGCAGAGACAATGCCTGATCTCTATAAAATACGGTGTTCAAAATGGTAAAGGAAAGGCTGCTTCTCCCGTACAAACATCCCCCAGCCAGTGGCGTTGCTTCAGCACCCCCCCCTCCCTTAAATTAAGTATAGAAATATCCATTCTGAATAGTTTATACATTTAATAAAAAGTTTTATTTGCATATGTCGTTTATTTATATTTTCAAATAATGTATGAAATTCAGAATTGAAATATAATTTTAAAATAAATAATTATATATAATTCCAAATATAAAATTTTCTAATTGGTGTAACCCCTATAACGATGACACCCGGGGAAGTGGGACCGCTCCCTCTTACTACGCCACTGCCCCACTTCAACTTAATTGGTCACTAGTCCCATGAGCGTAGTGCATGGTATACCCGGGAGGTGGCGGTGTTCCTCCATCGCTGGAGCTTTTCCCGTCCAGGTATTTCCCCCAGCGGCTCTTCGTCTCGCCCCAACAAGTTCTAAACTCACAGCAGTGCAGTACAAGTCAGGGAGAGGGGGAATTTAAAAAAAAAAAAAATCCTTTATATTTCATGTTTGAACACAAATACGTTTGGTTATTACGGCATATGTCTGATTTCCGTTAAAACTATGGGAATTTCAAAAATTGCAAATTTCTTGCCCTACACCTTCAATATTAGAGATGAGATTTCATTATTAAGTCAATAATTTCCCACATATTAGATCTTGGTATTAATACATGCTCAACATAAAAAGTTAGTACTTTTATGAATTTTTGAGTTTTTTTAACTGATGGTTGAAGTGTTAGGATTATGATAGAAAGTGCAATATTGTGTTACATGCCCATTATTGACAATATGGGCTGTTGTAGCACTAGCTTTTTTAACATGATCTAACTCTGATATTTATGAATCTTTGCTTATATATTAATTCCTATTATTCTAAACATTTAATATTCTACATTGTATCCCAATCTTTACTTATTTATAAACAACGTATGATATTGTTAGTTATATGCATCTTTCTCATGATACACCAAAGTACTCATATCATGATTATGAAACAAACATTTATTGAAAAACATACATTCCAAAAAAATATTCAATGCGCCGGCCCCATCCGCATGTGTGGTCAGGTGCAATCAGTCAAACGAACACCAACACTATATTATTACTATAATAAGACCGTTTTACCCCCATAAATTTTCCAGGGACTTTTACAGCTAAATAAAATAGACTTTCTCGAAAAGTGACTACTTTACTTATTTCTGAGGAATCAAAGTTTTCAAAAATATTGAAATGTGGAAAAGTGTAATTAAATTCTTTAGGCATGACAAGATCATTCAATTACTTGATAAAACTATTATAAATTTGACTAAATGCAAATAGCTAATGACACATATTCAATTTTTCTGAATTGAACTTTCAGAGATGGTTTCTGTTCAAAATTTATCATGTCACTAATTACCACTAAAATTAACATTATTCACTCTCTTAGGAGGAACCTTGCTCAATACCAAACTAATGGTTACTTGGTACAGGAAATACATATTTCCCTGTTTAGTTGATTCCAAAGAAATGAATATTTCTACATGTTAATTCATAATTACATGCAACCTAAATTTATTATACTTTTTTAATAGAATCTGGAATTTTATAAATAATTACATATACTATTTTGATTAATTTTCAGATACCCGATAAAAAAATCAAGAAGTTTCAGAGGGTTATGTTTTTGACCCTTGAAATGGTGGATGTATATAAAAAGTATGGAGTGGACAAGTTTACAACAGCACTGGGACTGTCAGTAAAACCAGAATTCCGAGGTCAAAACTTGGGAGTCGAAATCCTCAAAGGAAGAGCTCAAATGACCAGTGCAATTGGCCTCCAACTCACACTAAATAATTTCACAGGATTTGCTTCGCAAAAGCAAGCCGAAAGAGCTGGATATGAATTACTTGTAGAACTTCCTTATTCAGAAGTGAAAGATGAAGAAGGTAACGAGATGTTTCCAGGAATAGAAGCAAAAACCTTGCAGTTTCGAGCGAAATATGTAAATCCAAACGAGGACAATTTTGATTAATATTGCATTAGAAGTACATTAATAACTTTGTATCTGAAAAATGTTTGTTTTGTTTTCTTTTGCAATAAAATTTAATATGCATTGTTTATATTAGAACAATAAAATTATTTCCATTTGTAAATTTAATATTGAATAAACAGATACAGAAGTGGAATTCTATTTATTTACTCATGTTGATATGTGTAACAAAATATTAATGACATCAAACGTATTCAAATAATTTGTTATGTTAAACAGAATTTTAACACAGTTAAAAAGAATACACTTGTGAAACACAAATAACAAAAACACCTTCATTGTGACTATATCTGGAAGAAACACTTGTTAACAATTGCGAATATAATGTGGCTTTCTTTAATCATTTACAACAAATAATATTTTAATCAGAAGTTCAAAAGAAACAGGTCACCCATAAATAAAACTTGGAAATGCAAAAAACCATTTACTATACTCAGACTATTTCCAGTTGCATTTCTTCTGTCCTTTGTCAAAAGCAATTAGCAATCATGGTATTTATAAATAAATCTAGGCTTCATAGGTTGTTTTTTTCCTCCAAGGGTATGATATAGAAAAAATGAAATATTTGTTACTCATATTCCTTTATCAGTTACAAGTGCAATTCCACATGAATTGCAAACCCAGTTCTAATGTACAAATGGAAGTCTTAATTCACAAGCTTCAAATACATTGCAGCAATTTCACTATCTTTCCACAAGTTTACACAGAATAAAAGTACATAAACAAAAATTTCCTATGTATGTCTTATCAATACTTAGCAATTATTCTGTTGTCATGCATAATTATTCACTACAAATAATGTAGCAAGTATACATTTTCCACCAATGATAACCGAATCTAATAATTAAGCTGTCATCACATTTTTATACCAAGATAAAATTATGAAGTTATACAATTTCAAACTTACCATTTCATTAAACAAAATTAAATGTTTGTCTTGTTTCTGACAGACTATTATTAAACACATTTCAATGTAGATGCACATTCTCATGAAAATAAGGTCATGATCATTGTCACAGATGAAAAAGAATTTTTTTCATCTTTGCTCCCATGATCCTGAGAAAGGTGCTTAACATTATTCCACAAAGCTTTGTCAGAACCTAAGATTTAAATGCTTTTTTGTGATTCTACTTATTGTACACTAATTTTAATATTGATATATAATCATAAAAGAAATAACAGGTGGCAAAAACAGGCAGTCTATAGTCATATACTGGAAAATTAACTTACTATATTTGTATAACATTAAGTATATATTTGATAGATGGAAAACAACATGCAGAGGTAGTCAATAAAATGAGTAATCAAGTCATAAAATATCTGAAATGTTACAAACCAGCAAAACAAAATTCATCCTATATTACAATACTTTGTTCAAAGTAATGACATTGTGCAAAATAAATTTCTATAAGTTTTGCATTAGCTACCTTACAAGCGTAAATATTGTGTTACTTTCCTGTAACATGAAAATGTATCCAATTGAACTATTTACTGTATTTTAAATACACGAATGTAACATGTGATTGAATACTCTAAATATATAAGCTTGTAAATCCAGGCTTTCCCCAAGTCTAGTGCAAATCTGAAAGCAAGAACTGCTTTAAAATAATTTATCATTTTAGTAACTGTTTATACAATATTTAACAGCGAACATAAAATGTTTACAATCTATCTACTGCAACACAGAGGAATAACATTCCTAAAAGCAACTGAAACTGGTTTCACCGTTTTATGCATTTAAAAGAAATTATAGCAACAAGCTTTTATGCTTCCGGTTTTGTATCGTAGGTCATTCACCCATCAAAAGCAATGCACTTACTTTTTACCAAAAAATGCACAATTTATTTATATATACATACACACATACACACTGAGCAGACTTATCTTCTAAGATGTTCATGTGAAATACAAAATAACAGTTCACTTTCACAATACAAGGGACTCCCTTAGAAAATTCTCTCAAATTAAGTTGGGTAACAGAATCACTATTTTCATTCACTCAATTCACGTTTTAATATTTACAGGAAACTACCGCGTCAACCTACAGAAACCATACACAATTTGAATTGAAATTAAAACACTTACTTTATGGTTGGTTTGCTTTTCTCAATTCTGAACAAAAAAATAGCACTCTAGTAATCTCACATAAATAATATTATTGTGGAAATAAAGTTTTATAACAATTTTCATAATTAGTGGGGTAAACTTCAGAAAGTTGTCAAAGGATACAACCTGCAACTAACTCTACAACATGAATCTGTTTTGCTTCACTTAAACAAAACCGAGACCAAATTTCTTTAAAAGAATGCATTTAATGGTTTTATCCGAATTCACCCACTTTAATGCCTTTTTACTACTATTATGGGAGACTATAATGAACATCATTATGGAAGAGTTTGAAATTATTTTCCTAAGGTAGGGAAAACATTTCTTGGAGACATTTAATCTGTTTGTCACAACAGTAACTTAAAGGCCATTGAACAAGCTTTTCAATTTTAAAATACTTTTCCAGTAGAATTGTTATCTACTATCCCGGTATTATTGTAGTTAGATAAAAAAACCTGTACTTATCAGTACTAAACTTCTATGAGTTTTAATGAACTCAGTATGGTTTCAAATAAATGAGAAAGTATTGAAATACAAATCAGCTCCCACAAAGCACATAATTAAAAGAGAAATAGTAGAAAGCAATTCAAGGAAAAATAAGAATTTTTAGGTTGTTGAATGTTTGTACTCAAATCGGTAACGTGAGTGCTGTATAGAAACCTTCAAAACGTAACTTAAAAGCACAAACTTTAGAACATAATAGTCTATTACTGATTTCCACACGTTTCGAAACCCTAATGAAAACTTTCCAACCTAAGACAACCCATTTACTTAAGTCAGATGTGGATGACAATATGTGAACACTACATTTACAAATGTGTTTCTCACTTCTAAACATAAAAAGTAGCCCCCTCCCCTCTTCCAATATTTAGGTAATACCTGGTTATATAATGCAGTATTTATTGAACTCACCCTTATTTAACTTCAGAACATTCGACACATAAGATTTAAATCATTGCAAACTACAAATCACATGCATTTTGCAGATAAATTAACAATGCTTTGTAATTACATTACAAAATTCCTTAATTTTTTCGAAAGGTCTGGAAACAGAATAAGCATTACCAATAATTTTCTTGACAGGGAAAATTTCTGCCAATTAAATTCAACCATGACAGGTGTCTGCAGTGAACATGGAGGCATGTACAACTATATAATAAACATTCCTGCACTGATGGAAATCTTAGATTTAAAAACAGAAAGCAAGAATAATGAGGGAGAGAATTAAAAATCACACTCGTAAACTTCCATAGATAGTCATGATTCATTTAACCATATTTCTACTTCACAAATTTGGTGAGAGTAGCCAGTATTATTTTCTAGACTAGGGTTACACAACGATCATCGTTACGACTGTCCTAAAACACGTTACTCAAAATAAAAGTCTTTATCGCTTTCTAACGGGAGAGCGAGAGCGGGATCGAGATCGGGATCGTGACCGGGATTCTGAACGAGAACGTGAGGATCGGGAGCGAGAAGAACGCGAACGCGATCGCGATCGTGATCGGGAGCGTGATCGGGATCGGGATTGGGATCGCGATCGTGAGACTGAATGAGAGCGAGAGGACCGTGAGGTTGATGGAGACCGAGATGGTCTTTGAACATGATCTCTCCTGCCGTTTCTGTCTTTCTCCTTTTCTTTCGAAACAGTGTCTTCTTCATCGCCAAAACCACTTAAATCGTATTTTGACAAATCCCCGTCGTCGTCATCTTCTTCATCGTCCTCTTCATCATCTTCCTCTTCCTCTTCGCCGTTGTTTACGTCCTTCTCTGGTTTCACTTTTTCTCGATCATCTTGTTTGTCGGAATTCCTCTTTTTCTTCTTCCTTCTCCCGTATTCATCGTACTCGTCATCAGAGTCGCGTCGTTCCTTATACTCAACAACGCCACGATCATTAAAACCACCGCCATAACCAGTACGCTCCTCAACCTCGCCGAACTTCGGAGCGTTACACATGTTGCAAGACTGCCTACGAGCCCAGTTTACGTTTCCACACTTATTACACTGCCAATCATCAGCACTAAACAAGCCTCGACTTTTCTCGGCAGCAGCTTTTCCAATTTCTTGACCAAGTTTCTTTTTTTTTGGTGCTTCGCCCCTTTCTTTATCGCAACGATTACACCGGTCCCGTCGAGCAAAATTCACGTTTCCGCACTGGGGATCACTGCACATCCAGTCACCTTCGTTCATTCTAAAACGACTATTGCCAGATATGTGTTCCATGCTGCGCGGTAACACAAAATTTGACGCCAAACTGGTACTATAAACACCGGCTAGATATTTCAAGAACAGATAGTTTTCCACGCCACATCTAACCCAGTAATACGCAGAATTGGCAATGATGATAGCCAAATTCATAGATATTCACTGCACTTTTAAAGTCCCTTTCTTTTCTTTGACTTTTTCGAGTGTAATTTCACGTGACTCAACAGATGGCGTTAGCATAGTAAACTTGATATTAATTCAAATTCCAAAGAAAATAATACGTATATATATTTTTACCAAACAATTACAAATTATAAGAAAATAAACATTTCGCTTGGACAATTGGTTTCCGAACTTGTCATCGAAAAAATATGTCTATAAATTATTTTAACCAAATCGCAAAACTCCGTTTTCGAGAAATCATGAAAATACATTGTCATACGAATGACAATGCACTAGTTTCGCAAACAATTACAAGTTTACTATGATGAAAAATTAGAGTGAACTCTATCGTTCAATTTCTGGAACGAACTCACTGCCATGAAGAGACTACGTAAACATGCTTGATTCAAATGCTTGTTCAGACACTTTCTGTTGTGACAAGTCTTATTTCGACTTATTTGTTGTAATTGAATTCATGGTGTTGAAATTTAAAAGATGTAATTACATGAAGAACACAGGCGAAATGGGTCCACTTTTATGTGCTGTCTAAGACAACAAGATTGGCGAACTTATGACTGACGAAGTTATGACCGACAGTTAGGGTTATGACTGACATTCTGATAATATGAGTATTATCTATATTACAGGCTAGTACAATTTGTTTTTGAATGATCGAGACGAGTTATTCGAGTGTTTGTACTTATTTATACTAATAGTTTAATGATAATTAACTGCTCTTGTCAATCTTGTGTAATGTCAGTTTAAACGATTAGTTCATGATATAAACAGAACGCGAGAATGTGTTCAAGCAATTTAGTTTGTATGGACTGGCAGAGTTCAGCCGAAGGAGAAGCTATTTTGCAGTATTTTTACAATCCTCAAACAACAGGGAGAAAGATTTTTGGTAATTAAAATTTTTGTTGACAACCATATTGAAAAATGCTTATACGTTTAATTAACAATGACTGCATTGCAATTTTTCTTCCAGGTGTGCTTGAGAAACCAAATGTCCCTTCCAGTGTTGAAGAAGTGTCTTATAAACTTTTTGTTGCTGGTAAAGCTGGCATTGGAAAGACTTCAACTGTAGCACGTCTTGCAGGAACCAAAGCCCTCAGTTCATATGTTGAAACATCAGGCATACGAAAAACCAATATATATTGGCCTGTCAAAATATGGGACAAAATAATCCTTTTTAAATTGCAATTTTGGGATGCGGGTGATCATAGCATGAAGAAATATAGTCACATTCTGCCTGTAAGCACTTCCACTGAATAGTTATATTTAGCTTGTAGGAGTGAACCTGATTTTATTATTTCTTGCAGGCATGTCGAGAAAAGGCAGATGGCATAGTATTTATATTTTCATTTATGGATACTAGTAGTTTCAATGATCTGCCACAACTTATGAGTAAAACTATTCAGCAACCTGAAAATCCTACAAGTATAGTGATTGGCACACGGTGAGAAATTGTTGCTAGTGGTCTAGGGGGAAAATGTTTGGTAGTTGTAAGACATTATTCTTTTACTTTACAGGTACAGTTTGACAAATCGATTAGAGGTACAGTCTTCTGAAATAAAAGAGTTTGAGCACAAATGGAGAATTCCAGTCCTTAGAATTGACAACAAATGGAGTGGAGAGCGTAGTGAAGTCCAAGAAGTTGCTCCTGTTTTGAATATTATTTGTGAGAGGTTATGGATGCGGGATCAAGAGTATTTAATAAAACAAGGCCTAGTGCGATGATATAAACATTAATCAGGATCTTCTAGAATTCATTCCTGTACATAGCAAGAATAGCTGTCCTTCATTTGCAATGCCCTCTGTGTATGTATCAATTTTTGTAGTTGTGTATAGTAATACATCACTGAGCGATTTATACCTACAGGGATATAACCTTTCATCTCGAATGCTGTTTCAGAGTTCAGTGCAATTTTGTAACCAATGCATTTTGGCACCTAGTTGTCTGCAACACACTAACCATGCTCCATTCACAAGGGCTTTCCAGCCCTCGCATCTTACGATCTGGTGGTGTCTCAGATCTCACTTTGGTGGTTACATCGTTTTATAAACTGCCCTCTTTTTTAAGGGAAATAGTACTGTTAAAGGAATGTCACTTCAGCTTTTACTACTTATAAAATTGCAAAAGTATTTACATCACCTTGATATATTTTATTAGCAAGAGGGTAGCTTTTCTCCTGATCAGCCCACATCCCAATGTTTAGATTAATACATTTCTTGAGTGATATTTCTCAGTATGTGAGCAAATTTGTATTTGCTTGAAGAAAATGGGAAATATGATGAGAGAATACTTTGAAGAAATAGAAACTTTACTTGTGTATGAAAAGAAATGGTGTATATCACTTCGTTGGGCTGCTTTGCTTCGGCTTCTTTAAGCTGTGCCCATTGCAGCTCCTTTGTTGATAAAATCATTGGCTGAAGCCTAGCCTACTGTTCAACTTACGGAAGACTCTTTAAACCAGTGGCACTTCGCGCCGCTCCGGTAGCAACTGCCCAGTTTGAATTCTGGAGGCTTCCTTGAAAAGTGCTTTCTTATAAAAGTGATTTGGTAATTATGCGATGGATAAACTCAAGGATGTTTATAGTGAACGTGAGGGCCAAAGGCCTGAGCTTCACCGTGATTTGGATCCAGGCAAGTAAAGTGAGAAAACATGCCTTTGATAGTAAATTGACATAATGTGGCGGGGACAAAGCAAATGAAGGGCCAGACATGAAAATCAACTATCCATAATTTCTATCAGAGTGCTTAGCTTAATTAGGAGACCCTTCCCCTCGCCGCCATTCTTCTCTGAGGGTGTACCATGTACCCTACTTTAACCAAATTATTTAATCTGATTTCCAATACTTCTCTTCCTATTGGGTTTATAGTTAATAATGAAATTGGAGATTATTTCAATTTTTCTTTGAGTGTCACCTGTATTATGTTTAACAATTCTGTCAAGAGGGCTGTGAATTTGCAGACTTATCTTTTATTTCCGTGAATTGTTATTTTGAAACCAGGAAACTCGGTTCTGCAGCCGTAGCAGTGTTTTGCTTCTGTGTTTGGTTCTGTCCCTTGTCATAATTCATAGAAGTGTGAATATGGCTTTTTTCTTTTAAACTTCACTTTAGTATTCTTCAACGCTTATTTGGTAGTTCCAAGATATAGTTGATTCTTTCTGTTTTATGACTGTTTCTCTCTCCTAAATAAGAGTTCTAGCAGCCCTGGAAGTAAAAATTAGGCACTTTTTCAATAGTTTTCTTCTTCCACAACCACTTCACATTTCTCTGTTCATTTTCTTGCAAAAGATATTGTTTTTGTTAGAAATAGTTAAAGTCCTTTATTATTAAGTTCATAGTCCTCTTTGCATTTAGATTTAGATTTATTTAGTCAATAAAACATTAAAAACTGTATGTGATGTATGGGAGAGAAGATTATCTGTATGTTTTCTTGAGTTTCAGAACCTCTTCACGTCATTGTAGCTATATATAGTTGAAAGATGAGTAAATGTTGAAAATAAATAAATAAAAATAAATTTTAAAAAATGGCGAGATTAGCAATATTTGAAAAATATAGACATTTTCGTTTCCGAGTTATAGAAAACTTATTTGCATTGGTAAATGAATTGCAAGTATGATTTTTCTGCATTGCTAACAAAATAGTAACTCGCCCTTACCTCTTCTTTTACCATTACAAGCAAAAGGAGAGTTAAACAAAACGAAGCTACATTTCATTTTTACCACTATTTAGAATGACCTGGTCTTCAGCATACACAAGATTTCTTATAAATTTATTTTTTTTAGAGTTGTTTAAAATGTTAAAAAGGATAAAACTTTTTTCTGACCATTTCTCAAAGCCTTAAGTGACTTAGGTGTAAATTCTTTGTGCTTCATTGGAGAGATTTCTGTAGTTTCAACCCTTAACTGATATCAGAAAAGATAGAAACCAGAATTTCCAACTCACATAATCATTATCAGTATCAAACATTTTTTGTTAATATTATTGTATGTGTAATAAAGTATCAAGTTCATAGTATGTAGCAAAGTTGCAGAGCAAATTTGCTTTTAACTGTACATTTATTTGTACTTGTGTTTTCAAGAGTAAATGAAGTTTTTATTTTATTGTAAGATTATTGTATTGTGTACTATTCTAAGGTCTTGTATTTTGTGTTGTTTTTTTCTTGTGGGAGTTTGTTGGAATAATTTTGTTTTTAATTTATAAAACAAAACATACAATTATAAGATCATTATTTTATTTGAAATAATTGGAAAATATTTAAGGCATTTGGTTTTTACTTTACTGTTTTGTCTCAAACTATGTGTAGAATTTTTACCAAAATAAATTTTCAAACTTTTCAAAAATTTCAAAACTGACTCCAAATTTTTTTAAACAATTTCTAGTATGAATAGAATGAAATACACTTATAAAGATCACACATATTTGATTTCCCTAAAGTTTGGAAAATTACAAAATTTTGAAATTTTTTTTAACCTTGTCACAAAAATACATTATTGATGGATACAGAAAGAGAATTTTTTTCCTCCACGTAATGTTCTACCATTAGCAAACACGATGTTTGATGGTGAGGTATTCCTTTACAGAAGTTTGTCATGTGTGGTGTACTAACTTTAGGAATGTCGCTCCAGTTCCTTACTTTCTGTTTTGTGATTGTAATTATATATTTTATTTATTAGATATTGTAATTATATTTTATTTCTTACCATTTTTTTTCAGTAATTAAATGTAGAGTAGGATTTAATTTATTTTTACTTTCACTGATATGTAGGTATGTATATACAAGAGTATAGAGAAAGTTATATAATGCTGCGGAAAATCAATTTCGAGATTTCAACTGAAATACCCGTTTTGAGATCCCTGATACCAACAAAAAGTTCTTCCTTCAAACTGTCTACCATACTGTGAACACCACCAGCGCCTAAACCATAAGTAGGTTTTTTCCAAAATGGAAACTTTCTTGTTGATCTGGCAGGACTCGATGTGTTGCAATTTTGAAAAACTTGGGAGTACTACTTTCACGAAGCCCCTGAAGAGGTACTTTCATGATATATATATATATAGTGTGTATAGTTAATATATATTGTGTGTGCGTGTGTGTTTCTTACAATGTTCAAGTATTTTTGGTGTTGAACATGGAATAATAGTATGTGAACATAAATCAAGTTGTAAGATGTTACCTTTTATCCCTATCCTCTTGGGTCTCAGTGCGAATAGTACCCGGTGTTGCCAGATGGTAATCACCCATGGATCTGATATGTCTCAACCTGCTTAACTTCCATGATACTACGGAACTGAGTCAAGAAGTTTGGCAACCGATTAAGTGGTTAATAAACATGTGGTTTATTTACTCCAATCAAGCCCCATGAACCAGCCTTCATCAAAAATTAAATTCTTGTCTATCCGGAAGACGCCGCGTCGTTGGCTGAGAGGTCGACGTTTCGCCTGACATGTCGCAGGCTTCCTCAGGGCAGTGAACGTTTCCAATGATTGGTGATAATTAATTTTGCTGTTTTCTTTTGTGTTTTAAAAAATTACACTAAAGTATTGTTTAATATCTCTGAGGCTTTTAATATGCACATTTCCAGCAATTTGTAAACACTATTGTATTTGTGGCTGAAAGTGCTTGAAATTTCCTCGAATTTACAGTAGCGCTTCTACGGCTCCAACATTTTCAAAGAAAATTGCCATTTAGGTAGTGGTTTCTTTAATATTCTTAAAATAATATTTCTGTTCTACATTTTCTGGGATTTGTATACATTATTGCGTTTGTAAGGGGAAGTGTTTTAAATAACTGTCAATGAAGTTTCTCTAAAATTCAACAGTTTTCTTTGTAATAAGAACTTCAAGTTTCGCCCGTGCAGTAACGCTTAAACGAATTTTCCTTAAAAACACCTCCAAGTTTTTCAACGAAAATTTCTATTTAAAACGGGCTTTTACTCTTCTTTAATAATCTTAAAGTAATATTTCGGTTGTACCAATAGAAAACCAAAAATTGGAGAGAAAAATAGTTTGGGTGGTGATAGATGGCAGCTGGCAAAATGGGGCAAGACTTTAAAGCTAGCCCAGTCCAAAGACATTAGAAAACTAACTAGTTCGAGAAAGGCTGTGCCATTGGTAGCACCACTAGTTTCTTTTTGTGTACGTAAGTATTTGTATAATTTATTTATATTGGCTACAAATATACTGCAGTGCTCAAAAACAAGCGCATCACCTAGAGAAAATGGACATTCTTTATTATCCTAATTCAATCTGCCCTCAAAAATTTTAAACAAATATTTGTCAAATTGGTAATCATATATTCTATGTTGATTGTATTGTATTTCTGGTTCCTTTACCTTCATAACTCGCTTGATTTTTGCAAATCAAGTAGTGTATTTTCAGGAGTATATTGGAGAGTACAACTGTAAGAAATTGATGAAGTTTTTTTTAGCACTACCGTGGTACGATATAGGCATAAATATCAAACATACAAGTGTTCCTATCTTTGAGCTTAATTCTAAGATGCTATTTACACTTTGTACATTATGAGTCACTTCACTTTTGGCTCCTGCGGCACTACGATATTTACAATTGTCTGTCAGCTCTTAATCGCTTGGCTCTTGTACTTATAAATTATTTGCGTATTCTTTTTAGTCTGCCTACTCGCCTTGCCACTGCCTCTTGTGAGGGGGTGGGGAGACATGCAATCGCAGTACAATTTGTTCACATTGTGGGTGAATACATATACGAGTATTATGTCACTCCACGTTGCTATTCGCTATCGGTCCTCTATTACAATACCTCCGCAGTAGTAGTACACGCACAGTTGTTCCTTCGCAACCTCTACGGGTAGCGTCACTGGTAGGCAGAGCATCTCAGGGCGAGGACGTTACGACCCCCCGAAAGGGGGCAGGAGCCAGCCGCCAAGCACTAAGGCGCGGGCTCGGTTTTCTTGGTACGGAGCTTAATACAAGTCATGTTCTGCTTCGGAAAATAGATTTCGAGATTTCAACAGAAATGCACGTTTTAGGGTCACGTGATACCGAAAAAATGTAGTTTTTTTCCCAAACGACCGTCCATCTGTCAGTCTGTGAACACCACTAACGCCTAAACAATTCGTAGGGTTTTTTTCCAAAAGGAATATTGTCCGGTTGATGCGGACCGCTCTGCAATATTGAAAAACATTCTTTTAATTTTCAGGATACTTAACACAAAGTCTCTTTTTCAAAATTTTCTCTAAGGATCTTGTTTTTTTCATTTATTTACTTATTTTTTGTAAGAAAAAAGTGAATAACTATTATGAAGATGTTATAGATCCCATTTTCACTGTTAACGCTGAAATTTCGAAGGTGGAATCATTCGGTGCCTTCCTACTACTACACTATTGAAAATAGAGATTGTTTCTTCAGTCATGAACATTTACCCTCCGCAATTAATTCTTTACTTAACGTTGTGGGCATTTTTCTTTGAAAATTGTACTTTTCAATTTTGAGTGAAATTCGTGCGATATTAAAGAATATTAATATCTAGATTTTCTCAAAACAGCTAAAATGTTTTCTTTAAACTTTTGGTTGGGATAATGGTAAATGAACTGTATAATATGACAAACGCCATTTTGCTGTATTATTTATTGTTTTTTCAAAAATTACACAATTGTAATTTTGTTGACATCTCTCTCACGTCGATAATATTTCCATTTCCAACTATTAGTATACATTGTTGCATTTGTAAGAATGAGTGCTTCAAATGATGTCTGATAATTTCTCGAAAATTTAAAAATTTATATATTTTGTGACTCGCGCATTTTCAGAATCACTCAAACCCGTTTTTTCAAAAATGCCATTGTAAAACTTATTAAAAATGTTATTTTAAAAATAGATTAAGATGTGCTTTATTAAAATTGTTTTTATAAGTTATCTCCCATTTACTTTATATTTTGTGCTTCTTATGGGCTGTCGGTAAATTACGTAACGCAAATTTACAGTATTTTGAATACCCCCTCTTCCCCTGTAACGCATCTGCAACGTGCAATTAAGCCCCCCTTAATCATTACGTAACGCATACGACACCCAACTCCTTGTAAATATAAGAAGTGGAAATAAATGATTGCTCATTAAAAATGTTTTCATTTTATTTGCGTTGTGTATTAAGATTTATAATGATTAAAGACGGAATTAGTTGTCGATACTGGCTGCACCTAACAATAACATTAGGAACTTTTGAGGGGAAGGACGTACATGCGATAAAATTTCTGATAAGTCGGGCTCACGCTACTGTTGTGAATGGCGCATGAGCGCTTGTCTACCGCGCCAATATTCTACAAAATACTACAGATCAGTTTTGAATATTTCTTTCGCAGTCTTACACTTCAATACAAAATTGATTACAAAATTTCATTTATTGTAATCTCTAAGGAACAGATTTCATTAAGGGCAGAAATCTTTCTCTTTAATTTTTAGTTGTAGAAAAACTCTTTTGAACTTTTGCAATTTTCTAAAAATCAGGGTTTTCAATAACCATGATAATTATTCTCTTAAACGTCCTTCAAGTTATCCAAAAAAATAAAAACTAAAAACAATGGAGACATTTTTTTGAAAATTTGGAAAATTTCATGGGCTTCACCTGAAGTGTGGGCATAAGGGCTTCACCCCAAAATCGAAATATCGGTTTCAAATTCAATGGGCGGCAACATCAGCTAGATCGATTAGAGAATATCAGTTTTGGAGAAAATCGGCTGAACAGTGTAGCATCAAGCGTTGTTCACAGACGGACAGGCAAACGAATGATTTTTTTTCTCGCGCAGCGTTACACAACCTGTCTACTCCGTGGCGAGAATGTAAAAAGGAAGCATTTCAACAAATGATTAAAAAGTGTAAAAGTATCGATGTAACGTAACACTCATCGAATTCCTCTCGCTCTTATGTAACGCAGCATAACGTTGCCTCAAAACTCCCTCCTCTTTAGCGTTACATAATTTATGGACTATTCCATACTTATATATTTTTTTCTCTTAAACTTGATTTTTAATGATTTTCATTGTGTTTCTTTGTAACTTATTTTTAAAATTTGTATTCAATATCTTTAAATAAACTTTTCATTTTTACTTTCTGATGAAAACATGTCTAATGTTTTATGCATACACTTGAAGATGCAAGTAATCAACATGTCTAACGAAATTGATTTAAAAATCCTTTTTCGACAAATAATCATATTGATTGTCAAAAATAAAAGGATGTTTGTGTTTTATTGTTAATTTATGTCACAATCATAATAATTTAAAGATTTATTTGTTGATAATTTCATCAGTCTTATGGAAGAAGATGTAGGCTTACACGGTCGAAGAATTATGTATGGAAGAATTTCCCTACATAATGATGAGACATCTAAATAGTGCAGAAAAAAATGTAGCAGATCAATAAAATATCGGAAGAAAAACGGATTAAACAGTACAAAAATCTATGGTGCGACCCAACTAAACAAGACGTCCACGAGAAAATAACTTCACATGGAGTGTACCCTATTGAAATCAAGGAAATCCGATGCGTCGAAGAGAACAAAAAATAGAAAATAATACGAATTAGATAATATACTCTTGAAGTTATTAAAGTATGGGGATTATTCCTTCAGTTACGATTGCTGTTGCTTTGTTCAACATGTGCTGGTTTAATTATGAGTTCCCGAATGAATGGAAACATTTCGCCGAATCTTATACAAGAGACATAGTTGAACCACTTAGGAAATATACTTAAGGCTATATCTTCGTGACACGGGCCCACAACGGGCGGGTGGGTGACGCAACGGCGCGAAAGGGGGAGGGGGCAATGTGTTTGCCTAAATTTCACTTTACGGCGCTCCTAATCGTCCGATTTGCATGATTGTCACGGCGTTGGATTTAGGAAGCATGTCGCCGTCGCGCTATAAGCCCACATTTTAAAATTTTTTCTTGCAAGTCCGAGAACTAATTTAAAATTTGATTTGTGCTAATTGTTTGGAAAAAGGGCATCGTAGCGTAAATTCTATTTTAAAAAAGGCGTCAAATGCCGTATACAGATCGAAAATAGGACTATTGGTTTAGACGGTATCAGTTAAGTCCCAGAATATTCTAAATTTCCTGTAGAATCCTAAAATGAATTGTAAATTAACTGCACCAAAAGGGCAGTAAATTCAAAAATACCGCACAACACGTAGAACGTACCTCATTAGTCGAGAGAATTTCTTACGTCCAGCTCCCACCACCGCGTAGTCTGGCGTAGTAATATTACCACCCATTTGAGTGCAGCACTGACGCAGGACTAACGCTAGTCACGAGATTTAATACGTAGTTTGCTAGCCCTGCCTGCTCACACAGGGGATTATAACTATACGAGTTGTATGACGTATTTTTCCGGACCTTGTCCAAGCAGTGCTTGCCACTGCTTGCAACATAATCTAATCAGTCCTGGATATAATAAAAAGCGGCTTCGTTCTTATATTATGTGTCTTCCTGTTCCAAAGAACGATCAAAATAATGGAGATAGTAGTTAAGTTAAACAACCAAACTGCGGGCCGGGATAAGCTCGTTAGGTGGGTAAAATATTTTTCGTAAGTTTTCTAATGCTTGAAACCTTTGCATTTTTGCTAAGAAGTAATGTGTAGCTACTGTTACCATTGAATGACTTGGAATTCCTGAAAATTCCTAACCTCTTCACATTGGACATTAGTTGTTGTGGGTATGTTGATTATTAACTGTTATTCTCATTCGCGTATCTTATGAATTAGATTGTTCCAGTATGCGAGCAAAGTTGCATGGCATTTTATGCAAGAGAAAAGACTCAGTCGTCAAACAATTGACCGATTGAAAAATTTGGAATACACTTTTAGCTCGTTTCGAAAATGTAAGTTATAATCTTTAAATGTATGAAACATTTCAAATGTGTTAATGTTTTTGCAGGTATGATAATTTGTTCCCATTATTGTAATTTCAGTGTTGCGGTTAGGAAGATTTTTGGATACTTTATACGGGGCACTGTCAACTCTACATTATCCAGATCTCACTATTAGAATCACATGCACACTGTCAAAAATTACAAATGCATTGTACCTTTTGGCTGATCATATTCTATGGATAGGACGTACAGGTTTGGTGAGTGTAAATAATAACAAATGGAATAAAGTGGCAAATAAGTACTGGCTTTATTCCATTATTATGAATCTTGTTAGAGACGTTTATGAAATTTGGAGAATTCTTGAACGAGAGGGTCACAGGCTTAGTTACGATGGATTTCGAAGAATGACAAATGGTTCAGGTAAAAAACCTGTTCCTTTGGGTTTACGAGCAATTACATTTGTTCAGGATCATAAAGATATTGTTGTGGATACAGTGAAGAATGGCTGTGACATTTTTATTCCTATGACAGCTTTAGGATATACAAGGCTCAGTCCTGGAATGGTGGGTGTCCTAGGAGTTATATCTTCCCTAGCTGGAATTATCAGTCTCGTTGATCCTCTGGCTAAGCTGTCTCCATCTTAAGTATTGTGCATCTCTATTCTAATATTTCTTTGCTAGAAGTGGTGATTATTTGTTGGATGATTGTTATGGTTTGGTTATTTTTGGAACTATATTGTGTTGGAACAGCAGTCATTATATTTCTTGTCGTATTACATTCCTCTTCAATATGGCCAGTACATAATATTTCTTGGTTTAAAGAAGTTAATTATACAGGATTCTGTCTACTTTAGGTACATAGAGCTAGTCAAATTTTGTTTGTAGAAAGTCTACAGTACTTTCAAATATCAGCTTTTCAGGGTAAGTCTAATAACAACTGATGTTAAAGACTTCTACACAAAATTCTTCAGAAGATTTAGTAGTGTAATTTTTTCCCCGCCTGTTTTGCAAACAACTATGGCCCCTTTATGTGGTATATTTGATGACTGATAATGGAAATTAAAATTTCTAGTATTTTGACTAGTAAAATTTATGTTTAATGTAAATGTATTTTAAACTTGGAAAAAAATAGATATTGAATTGAATCTTTATTCAATTAGTGACTAATTGCAGTTTGAAACATTTTATTTCAAACTGGGTATTTTGTGATTTTCAAAGTGGGTGCCATGAAGTATTTTATATTTGTATTTATTGCAAATTATATATTTTGAAGCTCAGTTGATGCTGCCTTTATGGTCTTTTCTGAAGGAAGAATGTGATATACCATATTAGAGAAGAAAGGGTTGAGATGAAAGAAATGTGCCTTCTGTGTGCAGCTGTTCACTAGTCAGGTGTTACTTAACAGGTTATGAAGACTTTTAGGACAAAAAGTGTGTGGTGACTGCAGACAGCGAACAGGGTGTTTATGAACTTGTGCTCTGAAAGCCTTATGTAAACAGGTCTGACTCAATTTTTTAAAAATTTTGATATAAACAATTTATATTTTGACATGTTCATTACAACTTTTCTTTAAAGTCAATATTATCCTGCCAATGGTTGTTTTGCTGGGTGATGTGTAGTCACCACATTGGATCACAACCTTCAGTTTTGTGGGTTTCATGAACAAATTCAGGGTGGCCACTGTCTGGAAAACAGGAAAAAATCAGGGAATTTTATTGCTCTGGAAAAGTCAGGGGAAAGTCATTGAATTAGTGGCAGAATTTTGAGATGGTTATACAACTAGATATTATTCCTAAAAAATAGTACATCATTATTTTTTGCCTAATTTCCATTTTTGGGTTATTTAAATTTGAACTGTATCACTATGAAATCAGAGAAAATAAAAAATTAGCTTCAAGTTTGCTTTAATATTTTCTTAAAATAGTGTGAAATACTCTACAAATCTTATCAGTTAAGAATTTTAAAAACCTTCTTGGGTAAAGTCGGAGAAATTTGTTTTAGGAAAGAGTAGCCACCCTGAAATTTTACTAATTGTATTTAGCCTATTATTTGTAGCAAAACCTATTAGTTACGGTGTTGGATCAAGTTATGGGGAACTGGAAAATTGATTTTTGATAATTTTGAAAACAGATTAGATAACAATCTAAGATAGCTTTTAGAGTATGTGTGACAACAAATTGGCAGTAAACAGTATATAACTAATTAAAAAATTATAGAGTTTATGGAAACTTTTTTTGCTGTAAAGTTAAAGTAGCCAAGAATTGTGTTGGATTTATATTAATCTTGGTTACCTGACATTGAATTGGGAGTTTTTTAATTCATAAAGGCAATCTTAATAAAAAAAACCTTATCGCTGCAAGTTAAAGAAACTTGTCAGATATGACCACGTGGGTTTAACTGAGTTTAACTTTCAATTTTTGCCATTTCTGCAGTGACTCTGACTGCGAGGAGGGTTCTACTGCTGACAGAGTATTTTCAACACTAGCTATGTAACTAAGTTATCCTTGTCATAAAATCTCCCTTTACATACACACGCTACTCTACCACACATGTTGGGAGCTTGGAACTTGTTTTGGCTGGGGGATATTAGCAGCGTGAAATCCTCTGCAAACTGTAATGTTGGTCAGCGCTCGATCTCTCTGTTAAGAGGGCAAGAACACCAGTATGTCCAGGCAAAAAGAAGTCCAAGTAATCAATCAATCGTCAATTTTGAACATCTGAAAATTTCACATTAGTCTACAATTTTTAGGTCTAACAGAGAATGCGGTTTGCCGACTTCAACAATGGGAAAAGTAAGCATTTTGAGTTGTCTACGAAACAACTTTGATATTGTCCCCCTTTTATTCTTTCGAAAACTACTATCACTTTCAGAAATTGCTTGGGAAAAACAATATATATATTGGCAAATCATTTTTGTGCATATGCACAATAACTGTACTGCTCACAACTTGCTGGCTGGTAACAATTTTGTTTCTATAATAGGCATTTTAGAAAATTACTAATTTTGATTTTAACATTTTTTATTGCGAGAAAAGAAAGAAAAGTGGGTAATTGTTTTTGTGAAGTTTTAAGAAACAGAGGAGATTTTTATGGGTGAGTTCCAATGCTAAGATTGTCCTAATATCTATAACAAAATTTCAGAAAAAATATTTTGTAGTTTGAAAAATCTTGGAAATGTAATTTTATTATGAATTTTAAATAAAACTTGAAATTTACCACTTTTTGGTCCTGCATGCAATGAGACACCACATTTTTCAAAATATTGAAAATATCAAACCAACAGTGAATATGGGGCAATCTTCAACTGTTCTCCAAAGTGGGATCAATTGAGAATTTTTGTCTCTTACAAGTTTTCTGTGTGTTTATTAATTAAGTCTGAATTATGATCAATAACCCAATCTAATTTTTCTCTGTTCAGTAATGAACCATTGGTCACTGCATTTTCTTAACCCAACTTCTTATTGATGCAAAGAAAAGAACAATACTTTTCATCTTACTGGAAGATACATAAAACTGCTGGTGTTAGAATGCTATTTTACCATTTTGTTTAAATCCTTGTAAGTTTATCTTGATGTTATTGTAATCTGGAGTTTCATTCAACTTACTAATTACCGGAAAAATTTTAAAAAGATTTTGTGAATTCGTTTATTTTCTCAATAATTCTGATTAAAAACAGAATGCTTCCTTGCATATGACTATGCTAATTTACTTCTATTAAGTTATCTCAAAATAAATGTTTAGAAAAAAAAGAGAAATCCTTCATCTATAGTAAATTTAAAAGTTTAATATTCTTAGTCACGAGTCACCATGTATTGGAAACTGTCTAACCATATGTGAAATGGGAAGTTAACATAACAAATCAGTAATATATGCATTTATATATATTCAAGGAAATAAGCAAAATGAACTACACGTTACCCAACACTAATATTTGAAGTAAATTTATATAGCGTGTTGGCTGATGTGAGAAGCATAACATGATGCTCACTGAATTGGTCCGAATGGCTTTGAGCATCAACAGTTGATTCTCAGTCATTATGAGTTTCAATAGCTGTGAAGAGCAGCATCTGCTTCTCAAATCAGTGTTACTTTAAGGAAGCTTAAAATATATGGCTATAACAATAAATTTTCGTTTTGGCGTGCACCTAGGTGAATCAAGTTTTGATTCTTATGGATTGATTTCTAGGAAAGATTTTATCATTGAAAAGTCTGAGATGAATTTGTGTACTAAGAAAAGAAAAAAGAAAGTATATTGTCTTAAAATGTAAAGAGATGAATTTTATTTAGGCTTGCAAACTTCATATTATCAAACGTCATATTATGAACTACTAATGTTTTTAACACTTGTGAACTTCAAAAGAATCTAAAACAAAAACTGATGCGCTTCTGAGAGTCTGCATATAATTCACAGAGCCATTGTCGTAAAGATATATGCAAAGGCCATGAGAATCAAAAGCTGTTTCTCAGAATTAAACAGTACAAATTTAAGATGATAGCACATGGTGATCCCATTGCTTCTCCATTGATTAGGCAATAAAATTCATCATTATTCACTCAATAACCCTCTTGAAACAATTAGTTCATTTCAATAAAGTCAATCTAGTTTAATTTATTGATGAATTCAAGCTGATCCCATTTTGAAAAATGATATCTTTTGCTAGTGGCACTGAAACATTTAACATAATATTAATTTTATTAACAAAATCAAGGGAGTCTTATTGTTTTATTTTTTTTTGTTACCAATAATAGTAAGATTTTTACATGAGTCTTGTGTGCCTTTTGTAGCCCTGATGAAGGCAAAATATACCGCCAAAACTTGTCCAGCTGACTACTTTGAGGATTTTCACTTACCTACTTCGAGATCTTCATTCCACTTCAATTAACAGAGATCAAAATTCATATCAGCATACAAAAAAATATATTGTTTTTTGCCTAATATTTCTACTGATGGATCATATCTGTGCAGACTTGTTTCGTCGCTAAGCTTGTGCGATTCTGTGTTTTTAAAGAGAGAGAAATGCCAAATTGAACTTGAAAAAGTACTTATTATACTCTCTTCACAGATTTTGAATAATTAAATAATATTATGGCTTGGCCAAAAATTCCCAAATATTCGAAATTTTGCCGCTTCATTTGCGGATTGGAGGAACGGAAATGTACAGGTTCACAGGTCATGACTCGATCACGCGGTCATTAGACGTTGCCAATTTGTAGTTTAATGGTCATTAAAGAAGCGGAGGGGAGGAATAAGAGCGTGACAGGAAGAAAAAATATAGTGACACTGAAGGAAATGTACTTAGCCACGTCAGACGAGGCGAAGAACCAAAGTTCAACGCGCGAAACTTTAAGGGGGCGCTAAAAAGTCAGAGGGCGATGTAGTGTAGGTGGAGGACGAGAAAGAAATGTCACGATGAAGGTGTAGCGACTAAAACTAGGATGATAAGGTACGAATACATAAAATAGTGATAAATCTGTCCAAAAGATTTAAACTCGTCTATAAAACATTTTTTACTAAATAAGACAATTTGAAGTTTTATTTTGAATGAGCAGTAAGAATTAGTTTAAAATGAAAATATTTATCAGGAGACCTGTTCAGAACGGGAGAATCTCTTTTTCAGTCTTTATATTCGTTCTTGTTTGAGGAGTTTCCGATATTGGGCAGATGTTTCTTTCAGAAACGACCGCCAGAACGGCAATAGCGCCTCAACTGTAAACTTTTCTTCCTTTAATATTATTTTTTTCAAAATATGTTACAAGTTTTTTTCTTTAAATTTCTTATTCGAAGAGGGCAAAAAGCAATTATTGTGATTTTCATTGAAAGCTCAGAAATTTCAAAATTGAAGTGTTTTTTTTTCCGAATCCGCACCAATATTGAAGCTGGATTTGTTTGTAAATGCAATAGATTCTGCATTATTAGCGTCTTAAATTGCACAGTTTTCCCTCCAAAATATAATAGTAGTTTTCTGTAATATCGAGGTATCAATTTTTTATAAATGGGAACAATTTTTAACAACTCCAATTTTGTATTACAACTTTTAAGGCATTTTAAGATAAGGCTTTTAAGACTTTTAAGATAAGGCCTTGAATCATCTTCAGTTTCATTCGTTATGTCGATTTGCGTGGAATATCTGGACTCGATGACGTCCTAGAGGAGGTTGTTGATCTGAATGCCACCTCAAAAACATCGACTTCCTTGCTTTTCCTCAAGCAGCCACTGCACAAACAAAATTACATTTCGTGTAAGAAAACTCCATGATGAAAATACACGTCCTTTGGAAAACGCTCAAGACAACAAATGAAACAAATTTCTAATACAGGGATAGCAAATTTCGAGCGATTATAATTCCTAGCTCGCATTAGGGTACCCGACGTTTTCTGAAGGATAGCATTTGATGGTGTCTCCACTGCGCATGCGTAGTGTTCCTTCTGGCGTCTCTTGCTCGCCCTGAAACTAGAGTGCACGGATGTCTCGTGCAAATCCTCCTTGAAATTCAAAAATATTTTTTTCATTTTTTCGAATCAGTTACGCGTCTCATATATTTACATTACAGGCCTATTTCATGATCGACCGCATTTGGAACATACGTGCTCAAAATATCTCTAATGGAGAGCCTTCAAATACCATAAGTTTCTGAGGGAAAGAAAGCCACAAGTCGCTCATTGACAAAATCTCTCGAAGATTAGCCTTTTTTTTTTCTTGAAAATGTACTTAAAATAGTTATGCTCTTGTAACATATTCTGAAAGCATAATTTCGGTTGAACTGTTAAAGGATTCGAAAAATTAATAAAATGCAAAACGTTTAGGTGTTTTATCAAATGCAGTATTTAAAATATCAGTATTACAGCAATGAACGGTAAACCGTCAGTATTACAGTGATGAAGAAAAAACCAAACTCATCGAATTTCTTTACAAAAATCGTGGTAAATTTTTAGCATTTCAAAGAAAATGTTTGTTTATGGATATGGAGATTTAATTGTGTGATTGGCAGGAGTTTTGTTGGGGTGGGGTGAAAACTGAATTTGTCTTGATATGAATTCAGCCGTGGTCACGTATATAAGTAAAAAAATACGCCAAAACAACGTTGGTCACAAGCGTACTTTTCTTCAATATTTTCTCGTGCCTTTTTTATTAATTAATTATTGTAAGAAGCGTTGAAAAGTCCTTTATCCGTTTAATGTTGGCATATTAGAAATATTTAGTTCAGGAGATGTATTCGCCATCAAAATACAATAGCTCCAGGGAATATTATTTTCTGGAGCTACGTAATTTGTGATAATTTCATTCCGTAGACTGGACTCTCTGAACAGTTGTTTTCAGGTGGGTACATAAGAAATGTGTTATATTTGAGAAGTAAATGTAAATTTGAATTGGCATGTGATGTTCAACATTCTTTCTTCAGAAACAGTAGGGTTAGAGAAAATGGTAATATTTGAAGTATTTTTTTACACTGAACAATCTTCACGGCTGTGAGTAAGGCCTGTAGATAGATGCTTTTGAAAAGGAAATCTGAATGGAACGGATTTCTACGTGTATTTTGCATCAACTTGCCATTTTTTATTTCATAGAAAGCAGAACATGGTGCATGTAATTAGGTCACCACGAGAAAGAGCATCTCAATAATTCATATCAGCATCAGAATTTGTTTCATAAACCATCATTATATTGGTTGAGGTACATAACATATATGTGTTACATTTCTAAGTGCACAATTGTTTTAATAAAATGTGGCATCTCATAAACTTTATATAATGTATATATTGTTAATATATTTGGTTGTTTGAATAATGTGTATTTTATATATCTGCATTGTATTAATTTAACTGTAAATAGTGTTATTGTGTTTGCTTCTGTCTAGAATACATCATGTTATTATAATCGCATGATATTTTATTTTCCTTGTGACTCTTTTTAAGAAGGTAAAGTGCGTCAAAATGAGGAGACAGCCCCACCTACTACTCCAGAGTTGCTGGTAAACGGATATGTACTCAATTCCCAAGAATATATAGCCGAGGAACTGGAATATCTTTGCGAAAATATATTTACCATCTTTATCATATATATCTTCGAGGTTTTTTGTCAGTACTGAAAGTTGGTAAGCACTGGAGTGGAACGCTCTTTCCGCATGGAGTGACTCTCTTGTGCCCTCTCGCTCGAAGACAATTCACAACCAGACGCTAAAACATTTCTCCCGAAATGCACGAAATTTCCTTCTTAGTGCATCCATTTCCCAGCCCTAAGGAAGAAAAAGTGTCCAATCCGGATAATTCCGTCGAATTACATCTAGTCACTAGATAATAGTAATATGTTAATTCCAACCAAGTGCGCGTTGAGGAAATGTTATGGGGACACGGCACCGTGTATATATTTGTGCGTGCGCGCGTGCAGGCACACACCATCTTGTGCCTGCCAAAGCCAGATTGGGTCATTTGTCCCTGGACAGTCCACGTACTCTCCCAACATTGGCTCCGACTCCATGTCTTTAACCAGTAGACTGTATGAATGGAATACTACTGGTATTAATTTCCAAGTGTCAAAATGTGGTGCATGCATTTTCCAGAGACAAACTAAACACTGTTTTTCTCCTTCAGGGGCCAGCTTCAAGCTGTGCCCCTCGCTCCGCCTGGTATTACATTCACTCTTTACAACCGGCATCTAGGATCTTGGGAAGGGGCGTTCCCCACTACCTCACCATTTCCCTACTCTCTAATTCTCCAGGACGGGACCCTATCTGTTGATAACCCGCTGAGGTAGGCGCAGCCCTTCTCAGCTAGTTCTTTGGTTATCGCCTAGGCACCGCTGTGATCTGCAGATCCGTAGCGGAATAATGGTTAATGAAGGGGTGGAGAACGGAATGTTGGAGCGATCTGGTGGAATACATATTGGCAGGGGAAACGGGAGTAGCCGAACCCGCCTTGTCCACCACAAATTCCACTTCGAACCGCCTGGAATCGAACCCGGCCACCAGTGGTGGCAGGCAGTGTGACCACTACGCTCCCTCCAGAGATATCATTTCTTTATAATCACACTGATCTTATAGAGAGCCACTTACTTCCCCTTGGTTGACATCACTTCGCAACTTGGAGTCCCCTTCGCCACTGTGTCGTACTAGAGTGCGGGCAGTTGAGTTACCCGCACTCGTCCGCTTCCCCTCCCGCCCTTCCCCCGTTGGCGTCGTCTGCCTCGCGAACCCTTCTCCGGAATCCAGTTGCTAGCCGCTGCAAACCTCTTTCTCGAATCGTCGATGTGCGGCTGCGTGATCGGGTTTCTTCCCGATTTCCAGTTCTTCTATCCCGTTATTCTTTCCCTTCCAGTATTGCGATTCCACAACCTCAGGCATATCCGAGTATATCACGCCACCAAGTGAAACATGGTGTGGCGTGATATTACAATTAACTGTAAATGTAATTGTTGGAATCTAAGAGTCCTCAGACTGCAGGATGGTAGATCACAACTGTAGAAAGGGTAAAAAGTTATTTATCGGAATACTTAAACAAAAATAATTTAATTAAAAAGTTAAACAAGTTACAGAGACATCCGTCCAAGTGAGCGGTACATAGGAATATCCCCCCGACCGAGCCCGTAGAGGTCCTTTATAGACCACGTTGTGGAAGGTACGTCGCCCCTCGTCTCCTTACAGCGCCCTATCGCTCTCAAGATTTGTCAACTTTTTGCCTGGCCACTGAAGTATTCATGGTGTGTCAGCACCTCGCTTGGTCAGCGGAGGATCTCTCTGTGGGTCAGCCTGTTCGAGTGTTCTTGCTTCAGGCATATGAACACATCGTATCTATAACGAGCCCTGGAGAAAAATGAATTCCTTAATGGGCATACGTGAACCGTTGGAATCACCTTATGAGTGGCTCCAACATGAGGTTAGTGTCCAAGTGTAAATGGACGAATTCTAGCCGGATGTATCATAAACAGTTGTAGCATGCGGGCTGCGTTGCTTAATACTAAGATTTTCAGACAATTTTATTGAGATACGTTGTTCAAATGAATAAAAGCATTCTACGTTCTTATAGTATTCCATTACAGGTCTCCTCCTACTATACCACGAGCGGGTCAAGCCATTCAGGTGGAGGTGGGACTGTCTCTACTACATAAATATTGACTTCACTTAATACTCTTGTAAAACTTTTTCCCGCTACTACACGCAGAACCAGGTGGAGGTGGGACTGTATCTACTACTTAAATATTGACTTCACTTAATACTCTTGTAAAACTTTTTCCCGAAACTACACGCAGAACCATCGAACGACCTCTGGCTAATATGGTCATCTTCCTTCTCTCTTATTCTCAATAATTCACCGTCTTTCAACTATCTTCTCGATAAAAAAAGTTTCGTTTCTTCTTGATGCTTCCTGGCAGAATGTTCATTAGTCCTTATTTACTTTATCTTCTACTGGCTATTGATTTCCTACGTTCCATACATTATTTTTTTGACTATCGCGTGCTTTTATTTACAGTAAAATCTGTTCGATCGGGACAAAAAAGTTTCGGTTTCGGGAGATTTCCGTTTTATGCAGGGTTGTCCATTTAACGACACTTGTGATGTTGATATTGACTTTTTGAAACTCGTGAATTAATGTAAGTTAAGAACTAGTTAAAGTAAAAAATTACATGATTTTATTACGATTATTAAAATAGATTTACATTAAAGTATTTATGGAAGAAATCACCAATAAATTAATATTAAACATTCTTCATGAACAGCTCAGTTTCACTTGCTTCCAGAGATTTGATCTTATCTGTTACAGAATTTTAGTTTAATGGTTTTTGCTTGTTAAACTCGTTGAGAAACTCATAAAAATGCGTACTGCTGAAATCGAACTTCTTGCTGACATTTCAACGCACAATGCGTCACAGCCCAGAGTACTATGGTTTTGATACCCTTCCATGGCCGTGAGCAATGTGTCTCTGACCTAGTAGTTACGATTTTGAACGTGGGGCAGGGAGAGGCGCGAATAGCCCGGACACCTTCCCTCTCTCAGAGAGGATTGGAGAGCTACGCTTTGATTCACAAGTGATTCAAAGGTCGAATTATTCGCTGACAGCTGTAGAACCCTCTCTACAGTGCGGTTGGTACGGCTAAATCGATTAGGATAGAGAATTTAAAACAGACTTGCAGATGATTCATTGCATTAAGAACATCTGTCTTTGCCAATTACATTAAAGTTTGCAGGAATTCCGTTTCCTAAAGAATCCCCCCCCCTATAGGTAATGAAAAACAGTTTTGTTTCCGCGTTGGACAGATTCCGTTTTATGCTGTATAAAATTACCATAATACTTCACGGGCCAGGTACATTTTCCGGTTAAGGCAGATTTCCGGCTTGTACAGGATCCGGTTTAGACAGATTTTACTATAATATATTTTCTCTTGTGCGGAAATTGCTGAACGTGTCCAATCGCTATAAATGTGCTTTATATTATTTTTGTTGTGCCCTTCACTTGCTATCGCGGTTTCTTCCACAGTACGACTGTTTTATTGGTGTGCCGCGATCGTGAAAAATTCTGCTCATTCGCCGGGGAACCGGTGCGCTTAACTCTCCTGCGAATGGGAGGTTCAATGTCTCTCCCTACAAAAGACATGATTCCAGTCTTGTCGATGGTTTATGAAGGCTCCCTCGAAGTTCTCTCAAACAGAACGTATGTATGACACGTACGTAAAATATGTCAAACCACTATGTGCATCGTATCCTGGAGCCTTTCTAAATTTTGGCAAATGAGCGTAATTACGGTCACTTTCAGCAGGACTCCTCAACCTCACACACTGCTTCAATTTTCTTAAGAGTTAACATGCGAGTCAGAGTTATCACACGTGTTTTGTGGCCTGCACGCTCTCCTGATCTGACTCCGTGCGATTTGTTTCTTTGGGGATTACTGAAAGTTCGCACGTATACAATTCCCCACAAGGAAGAAGAATTAAGGTAGAATATACAGAAACAGATCTCTGCAATACCACAGGACATCCTTTACCGAGAGAACCAGAACTTATTTAGATGTCAAGAATGTATCAGAGCCACGTTGAGCAGTTCCAGCATCTTCTCTAACGTGAGTACCTTTTAAACTTTCTATACAAATTAACTGAAAATAAATGTGTTTTAAATGTGTTTTTCGGCTGCTCAAAGAATTATTAATACTGAGACATTTCTTTAGAACGATATGATGGTAATTATCGGATTAAAAATAGTGATGTAAGGTGCGTCGTAAAATGAAATTTCGCAAACGTACGCGCGCCCCTCGGCGCGGCGTGGCGGCCAAAGGGCTCAGCGGTGGACGTCAGGCGTTCAAGCATCAGTTTATCCTATCCTTACTACCCGCAACGAAATTTTATTTAATTTTTTTCACACATCAAACTAGTGGGACTGTAACAGAGACAAAAATACTCGTATTATCTGTAATAGTAATAGTTATCTTGAAAATGTAGGTTTTAAAACTATTTCTATTTTCAAAACATTTACATATTTGAGGCATTCTCAAAATATCTACTCCAATTCAGAATTAATTTCAGAAAGCAAAATGACTATTTGTGTAAATATCACCAATATTTCACCTTATCACTTCGTATTTTCGAAATTACTTCTAAGAACTTCTGTTTCCATGGCACTACCAGAAAGAATTAGTTGATATTAACGAGGGGTTTTATCGTAGAGCTCAATTGTTGATCTGAAAATGGCATTTGTCTTCCCTGGAGAAAGAACATTGTCGATTTCCCCCCAAATAGAATTAGAGTAGCCGAAGCTAATTTAAAAAATATATTTTTGTACTTTCGAAGATATTTGAAAAAGTGGTCCAATAGCGCGCTGACGTGATGCTTTATGAATCCAACGCCGTGTCAAACATCGAAATCGGATGAACAGAAGCTTCGTAATGTGAAAAGTGGCGTAACAAAACATCTTTACTAAAATTAGCATTCCCGTCCGCGGATCTGCCTGGAACCTCACGGCTAATGAACGTGCTTCGCTCAGACTG